TTTGTATGGACTCTTTCTATTGTATTTTCAATCAAGATAAGAATAAACAATATTTTTTAAAGATGTAAAAGGTATCTTTAAAGAACTTTTGTTGATTGATTCATTCATTGATATATGCATCCTAATCAAGTCCTCAATTAGCATCTAATATTTTGAATAGTCATTTTGATTGCAGTTACACTCTGAACTGAATGAAATAGGTGAGAAAATAAATTGAAGATTACCGCCATTATAAAACTATCTTACTTAGCCAGATCACTTCTGCATCTCTCAGGTTCGCCCAGTTCCATTGGTTATTTGAATTTGATTGAATTCCAGTATCGATGAACTATCTAGTAATCGCTTGAACGAAATGAATATCAACATTAATAAACTAGGAAATTTTCGTGATGAATAGTTTTTCTTTGTAATAAAAATACAGTAGTATTCCAATCAATAATTCGAACTATTTTCAGATCCTTCATAGGGAATCAAATCATCTTGATACACATATTTTCGATTCGAAAAAATTTGAGAGCAATTGATCTGTCAAAGGTCATTTCTCGTCAATCCTTATATTCCTCTTATGTGAAATAGATGAGATCAAATGTGGCGTCATGCATCAATATCTCAACGAACACCAAATAGAATTTGGCATGACAAAAATTGTTAGATAGAAGAAGTTTCTCCTATACAAATCTAGTGAAAGATCATTTTAGATATGAAAAAATTGATAGAATTGTAAACATAAACCATTACTATTTATGTTGACATTGAAATGTCTTTATACTCTGAGATATTTATCCTCTTGTAGATGACACTGTGAATATATGATAGTAATTGAAGCTACAAATTGAAATAAAAGGATATTTTTCCAATGAAAAAATTTTTTTAATAGTCTTTTTCTTTCTTCTAGAATCTTAATTGTAATCCAATAATATTCGCTTGATGTATATATCATATGGAATTAGGTGTTAAGTGGGCCGTTAATATCAGAGATATGCACCGCGCGGAAGATGATGAAAGTTCTAAAACTCGTAGCGAACGCGGTCACTGCCAGCAAGCTGTTTGGTTGGCGGAGGGGCCGCTCCTCCTCTCTTATTCAACGAAGTGACGCTACTGTCAGGCGGTCATCACATGAAAATTTGAGAAATCTCTTACACCATTTTTGTTTTTATAAATATATGAAACTGCAATATTGTTCCACATATAAAGAGTCATGTATTAATACTTAAATATCAAGGATAACATAAAAATGAAGAGATCATGAAAGGACAATCTACTAAACAAGATTTAACTTGACCTATACAGCACTAATATGACAATAGTTCTTGTGTAAATTTATTTTACATTCCACATGACATAAATTTAAATTTAGAAGGGCTTTATAAAAGACTATTTTTCTTTTTATCAAATTTAGTAATAGATATCATATCGAAATAATTTTCAACCCGCATCGGTAATTATTTAGTCTTTAAAGGACAAAAAGCGATAAGACCATTTTTTCACCCCTAAAATTCTTTGAAAAAATTGCATGATTAGAATTAGCACTAAATTTTGCACAAAACTACGTATATTTTTTTAGAAATTTTTTCATTCTCCTTTCGATTTGATCTAGCTATAAGTTATCGGCCATGCTGATCACGAATATAAGATTTGTTTTGCATAAGAAAAGTTATTTCAATGAAGAAACGGCCTATTCTGGAAAGGATGTTTTTTTGATCTTAGTCCAAAATTTACTATCTTTTGACCCTAAAAATCAGTTTAGAATAGTAATAATATTTTATATAAGAGTAGAAATAATTGTTCTATCAATTTCTGACAGATTAATAGCTTAACAAGTAAATATTTCCAGTTTATTTCGCTAAAAACCGACAAAAACAGGAAAAAAGACCTATATATTATGAAGCACACCCATATTCAGGAATTTTCTGAGAATGGCTAACTTTTTTGAGGGAGGAGACTGAACTTGGTCAAAATAAATTTTCCGCTGAGCGAAAACAATATACCTGTACCCTCCAAAGAATTTTTCTCCTGAGAGGCTAAAGTTCCATCCGCCATCGCTTCCCCACGGCCTTACTATAAAGTGTAGGTCAATTTCTTTTCCTAACGAGGTTTTCATCCAATAAGCTATGTATTCGGATTGATGTAGTTTCTCATACTCTAGTCAAATGTAACTTCAAAAAAGATGCAAAAAAATACAGAAAGTATTCAAAAAGTGGAAATACTACAAAACGAAGCAGAAAAATCATAAAATGGCTTGGTATTTCCAGACTATGACCAACTAAAAAAATAGTTTTGAAGCAAAATAAATATTATATTATTCGGAATCAGGAGACAAAACTACATCCCGTAGCATGAATTTTATTAAAAATCTTTGTTTTTTACAAAAACTCGATTGGGGAAACCACAAGCAATATTAAATGAGAAAAGTACTGAAGAAGGCCAAGATCGAATTTTGATGGAATTGGGTCGAGTGAGGGTGACTGTTAGCTATAAGTCTATGTAGGGTATTGTAATTCCAGAATTAGAGGAATTTGTGTGTGATGAATTTCGAAATTCCAGGAGCTGATTCCGAGATGTGCAACATCGCGGAATAGTACGTATTCTCCTAAAACTATTTATCTATTTAGATCAGTGCTTGTATATATAAAAAAACAAAGAGCTCAGTCATGTACCACATTGTTGGATGCTCTTTCAAACAAAAACAAAATATTACATATATTGTATTCGTATCGAAAGAGAAATTTGGGATGCCTAATCTAAAATGCATAAACAGAGAAAAAACGAGAAACATTTTCCATTTTCTTTGAAAAATCATGTTTTTCAAGCAAAATAAGATGAAATTCTTAAAAACCTGTGTCAAATAGGAAATCATATTGTTTTTGAAAGATCAAACATCGGGTAATTTTCTCATGCATTTATCTCTATTTCGACTTGTTTGGTAAAAATTGACTTCTTTGAGCGGAGAAAAGCTTTAAATTTACGGAATAAAAGAGTGTCAACGATGATAAACATCTTTATTCGGAGTAAAGGGCCAAACTAATTTAGAAAAAAAAATTAGCTAAGTGGATGGGCCCATAGGCCGGGTAGTTTTTTTTTTCAGTTAAATCCACTGGTGGATCGAGTCAAAGTTCGATAACCCATGAGCTAGTTTTCATAGGCCCAGCCCAGCCCATTAGAAGCTCTGGAGCACTTACCATTAGCTTTCTACTTTCGTTTTTTTAATGAAAGAAGCATCTAAAATTTCATAGAGGAAACAGTTTATTAATAAAAAGTTGTGATTAGGCGTATATCTTCAACAATAGAAATGCAGAGAAACAAAATAAATGTATTGATTTTATGTATGCACTAGTGTCAAATTATATTCGGACTCTTTGTAACTCAAATTGTATCAAAGTAGTTCCATCAGGTAATAATCTGATAATTTCTTCGATTGAATTGTTCAGTTCAGTTTTCGTTCGATAATTATCCATAACAATTAATTCATATAAATGAAGATCTGCCTGTGGAATACTGAACTTATGAAATGTTTCTTCAAGAATCGTTGAGATCAATGTATTTTCACTAGAAGGCAACATGAGTGTTTGGTCACAATATTTAATAGAACATTTTAAAGTTGCTGTACAAATCAGATGCAAATCCATTTCAATCATCGAACAGTCGATAGCATCAAGTGACATGTCGTCACCATCAAGTACATTATTCTGAAACAACAATCGATAGTAATCACTGTTCACCACGAATAATTGACATGCAATTTGACATAGATGTTTAATTATGATAAAATATGAACATTGAAATTTGATTGAACATTGATCTTCAACATTGACAATAGTAGCTGTTATCGGTAATTTGGCGTCTATCAATGTAAATTCAATAGTTGATTTTAATGGAAAAGATATCAGTTGTGTATCTAATGATGGAATAACGTCATTAAAATAGAGAAGAGATTGTTGTTCAGTATTTATTTTATTTTGTTGATAAACATTGGCCATTGTCGCAAAGATAGTAAATTGTTGAGATATTATATTTTCTTGATCGTCAACTTCAACAAGTATTGAATCTGATAGTCGCTGAATTGAAATAAGACATATTTCACTTTCTTTTACAAGAATAAATTTTGTATCATTCAAATTCGATAGTTTTTCATTATTATCAACGATTACGTTTGCCATCTTCAAAGCGAAATATTTGTAAATGTTGAAATTAGTTTCTGTTAATTGTATAATTCGTCCGATAGTTATTTCTTTATGTGAGATTGGTATTTGAAATTCTTGTTTATCATCTATTTAATTATATTAATCAAGATCGATATACAAAATTGAATTGGTTGATTATTATTTCCATAGGTAATATATCTATCAATCGATTTTTGCATGTCATTTTGAGATAGAAATTGTCTTTGATTTGCATTCAGTATGAGTACACAATCGTCTGGAGAAATATTTAATTTCAAGTTCTGTAGAAGTTCTTGGTTATTTAGTATAAGATATATTGGTATCGATTTAAGTGTACGAACAGTTTGATTGTTGTTATCAAGTGAAAATGTCACTTCGATAGTATCATTCCATTTGATTTCATCAAAAGTTGTTGTCATTGATGGATGAATTGTTGAAGAAATTGATTGATTTCCATCAACAATACTGTGATGTTTTTGGTCCCAATAGGCATAATTTTCAGCGGGTTTTTCAATCATTGATGCAAGATTTTTTAACCAAAAATTAATTTGTTGCCATTTTGTGGTTCGATGAAATAAGCCTGTTTGTTGTTGACCTAACGAAGCGCAAGCAAAATGAGTTTAAAAGAAAAAGCTGTCAGCGTTATCCCAATGGGATTAAAATGTGAAATACGACCGAGCTGCTTACTTATACCATAAATGAGAAAATACTATGGTGTCTATAATTGGAAAGGTGAACTATAATGAAGAAGTGTCTGTAACGGAGGGGACCTATAATGGGACGTTCCTAAGGTGTCTGTCACGATCTATGACGGTGAGCTCTAGCCAGAGTATCTATCACGGTCTGTGATCGACCGTTACTAAGAATGTCCGTCATACCCAGAGGATGTGCAAATTTCTACCTCTTATCAGGCTTACCGATTGGAGGGCGATGGAGTTTTCCCAAAATCTGAAACTTTCTGGCAGAAAGTTTCTGCAAAAATTGTTGGGCATGTGTATGGAATTTAAGGGGGTAGGATGGATAGCAGAACGAGTTGTGTCATTGCTCGTTGCATGGCATGGATGTCGGTAGACCTAAGTCTGCCTAAAAACATGGTCTTCAGGTAGCAGTTTTGGCGATCTAAGCGTTTCCCAAACACCGTTTGGGAAAAAAAGGATTAGCTGAGATAGCAAAATTTTTCCAGGAAATGTATACTCGAGCATTTGTTGTTGCACCAGCTGTAAACTTGTATGAAGGTACTTTCTACCAAATTTTTGCTCCTTCTCTCTCCACTCCTAAAAAAAATCGAGGACTCGGCTCCTAAATACTTCAACAGGACTTTTAGTTCATATTTCATAAAATGGAATCGTTTCGATTGTAAAAATTTCGCATTGAATTGTCTCTACTAAAAATATATTTAATGTTTACCTGATTTCGATTGAAAAGTAACTTCACATAGATCCATCGTTTTATTTTCTTCTTTTTCAACTGCTGTAATGATAATCGGTTTGTTCTCGGCAACGTTATTGTCGGTTCGGTAATTATCAGCAACTCTTCCATCTTTGATACATTTTCCAAGTTCATCAAAAAAGCAAAGATAAAAATCGGATTTTGATGCAAATTTAGGATAATTGTTATTGATAAAACGATTAATGATTGACAAAATTTTACAATCAGAGGTAGTTAAATATTGTAATGTTTCTTTTGAGGATGAAATTCAATTGAAATTAGAACTGTTTTTTCAACGATACAATACTCTTTTATGATTCGATGAGATCGTAGATGATCAGTACTTTTCAAATCGAGAAATATTTGTTCTTTGTCGATAACAGCGAACACATTGTGATCATATTTTTTTTCGTTAAAATAATTTATTTAATTGTTCGCGTAATTTACTGGATATCCAGAGGCGTGAAATTGTTTCACCATTAGGAAGAGTAATAAGAAATTGTTGTGCTGTGGGTGTGGGTGTGTGGGTGTGGGGTGTGGGTGTGGGTGTGTGGGTGTGGGTGTGTGTGTGTGGGGTGTGGGTGTCGGTAGGTGAGTGTGGGTGTGAATGTTATTGTGTATGTGGGTCTTCTTTTAAGGCATTCACACCCACACCCACCCACCCACAATCCCTTCTATATTTACTCATTTTTCAGAATGTTTTAATCGAATGAAGCTGTTAATTGACGTATTTTTAAAATATTTTCTTCAAAATCTATACAATATTCTGATAAAAGATTAATGAGAATCATTTTTTCCCAACAAAAAAAAAACTATCTAAAATATAATTGATGGTAGTCTAAAATCAAATCCATATCAAAATAAGAACAAGAGTGTCTATGTCATGAATGATAGTTGAGGCTAGCTGAATAAAATATATTCTATTCCTTGAAAATCATGCATTATTTTGTTTGCATGATTACAGCAACATAGTACTAAAAATCAATTATTTAAAATAAATTTTGCTTCGAAAAAAATTTGCTTTTTCTATTGGATTTGAAATAAAATATTATAAAGATCAAACAGTCAAATATTGAAACACACTCTGTCTTGAATTGCCGAATTTTTTTGGATGTTTTAGTTGTGCAAAAAAAACAACAAGTTCTGGTAATCTACTTCACTATTTGTGTACTAAGTAGTTGGACATCTAAAACACTTCGAAAACATAAAATCACTTCCACTTACTTGTTCTCTTTACATACTGTATCTCTCACTTTTTTCTCGGTTGAGAATTAATTCAAATTTACATTTATCACTGAAATATGCATTTAACATGTCATCTATATTGATTTAATTTTTTCTATTTTATACGAGAAGAGGCCAAGCATCAAGACAAGATTGACTCTTTAGAATGAGTGTATCTTACAAAAATGATCAGATATTTATTGGTTCAGTTATATTACTAATTGTTGAATTTAATTTTCGATTTGATATAAAAATACTTGCAAATGAATCTTACTAATAGAGAAGATGGATGTTACAGGAACAAAAATAACAGAGTAAAACAACAAAGTTTTTTGAATCAGTATCTTTTGATCTCGAAAATCGAAATAAAATAGATTACTTGTATCGCAATGACATGTATGATTCGAAACGTATGTGACAGTTATTCATAGATATAAATGTATTGATAAAGCATGAATTTTTCTAAATTATAATTAAGTTTGAATTTTCTACATGAATTTGATTAAGTGAAGATGTTGAATATCTCTATTGACATTTTCTTCCAATATAATACAAGGAAGAGAGACTGTTAAGTTCAATTTTATTTTGAAAGGATTTGTAAGTATAAAATAACTTGATTTCAATAACGGAAGAAAATGAAATCTTACAAGATTAATGTAAATTAATAAATTAGAAGATCTTTCATCATAATTCTGTGCTATTAAATTTTAATATTTAACGATTCATAAATTCATCTCGATTAAATAATAGGACACCTAATGCCGAGTAATTACATAAAGCATGTAATATAAACTTTAAAACAAAGCACTTTTCCAGAGTATTGTTTTTTTGCATTCTACATTGTGTAATTTTATTCTTATTTAGTATCAATTTGATTTCCACTTAGAATACTATTCTATTTGATCAACGAGGTTCGAATATAATTTATTATTGAAAATGTAACAGACCTTATGGCTTCACTGCAGCATCATCCCTATATAACTATCGAATAATAACAAATGATAAATTAATGAAACTTTCCTTATACTGATATTTTCATTCGATATATTGAATTCATTTTTAGAATAGATTGGATTGAGTAACATATTTTTTACATGTTCGATAATCGTTGATAGTTGAACTCGTGTTCGATTACATTACAGGCTGTGAGTATAGGAGCTAGTTACTTAAATTATAATGTCTAAAACATAGGATCCATTTGGAATCGACTCCACCTACATCTTTTTAATTCATTTAAGATCAAAGATTTTGTCTCGGATGATTCATTTCAGTTGAATGTGGTATAGCTAAATATAGGGAACAAGCACATTCATCAAGATGCTTTTTTTATTGTGAATAGATGCAGTATGAATAGAAATTTTCATTGATAGACTATTTGGAAGTGACAATTTTTTACGTTTTTTTGAATGAAAATTTCATATACTTGCATCTTCATTATCGTTTAGAATACTGTTCTATGAAAGGCAGCTCATAAATGAATAATCAAATACTTTCAGATAAGTCTTCTAGTTACACAGTTCACATACGAAATGTTGGCATGATACTTCTTTAAACGAACACTCATACTAATACTCCACAATTATAGTTCAGATAATCTCTGTTCAATTTCATGAATCATCAATTTGAAACTTTAGTTCATCAAGAGGATAATAAAAGATTATTTTGCTTTGAATGGTTTGGAATTCGAATAAACGAATAAAAAACTTTCCAACTATTATTTACTTTTTCATAGATAAATGTGTTGTTAATGATAGGAGTAAGTAAATGAAGCTTGATCTCTGGCTTTCAATTGCGTTATTATTTAGTATGCCAGAAGAAAAGAAAAAAGTATATTCTGTTAATCTTCTTGTGTGTTTAGTATTGGTTTTCATAGAATGTTTTTTACCATCAGCAGGAAAATTAACAATTTTAAATAGTTTTATCGAGAAGTTAAATCCTATTAGAAGATACAACTCTATAATCTAGTCATTCTACACTTATCAATCATATGACATGTCTAATTAGCTCCTTTATTTCACGAGTTCATGAATAAAAAATGATGTTGATCCTTTATTTTCTGTAAGGTCTTTTGGCGGAATATTGCTGATAGTGTCATATTCGTTCGTATTTAGCTGTAATTCTTACAATTTTTCAATCGAATATAGATAAGAGAATGATTTATTCGGAACATATTATTCGACAGCTTTGTCAAATTAGCACAACTATTTTACTATCTCTTTCTGATTCGATGTTACAATGTTTCATTGTTCATAGCAACAACGTCCAATAGAAATCAGTGATTTACAATCTTCTAAAAAATTATTTCTTAGATAGTCTAGATTTATTCACTTCTTAGAAGCATAATCTTTCATTTTAAATGGATTTTCTAGAGTTTCCATTCTGAACAATTCAGTTTTATCCGATATTAGTAAAAAGTTATCATCATTGTGTACATGAATTTTTATATGGCATGGATGAAGCCTTACTTTCTCTAATCTTCTATTAGTTATCAGTATCAAATAAATACCTTTAGAATGTAACAGAACGTTAGAATCTAATTGTTGATCAAGCCTTTTCTTTCATAACATACACAGAGCATTCACCGACGTCAAAGAAAACTCAATATCAGTTATATATTCATGACAAAATTGTAGTTTGGTTAATGTTTGTTAAATATGAAAGATGTGACGGAAAGGTTCATACTAAATGAATAATCATTAATCATGATCAATAAGAAACGACAGAAGCTTGCAATAGGCATGAAAAGCCCGTTGATAGACGCTATTGTAAATCCGAACCAACAAGCAAAAACTTCACATCTTTCGTGAAACCGAGCTTGAGTTTGGGTAGCGTTCCTCATCATATTGACATTCACCCACACCCACACCCATATTTGTCCTATTTTAACGTTTAAATTAATTTTGTTGCTATAATAAAATTAAAGAATTTCGAAACAACATCAGAGATTCTCACAAAAAAAGACTAGTATGATGACAACAATTGCTTGATGCTTTGTCATTGGATATTTGCATATGTCATGTAAAAGCATATCTGTTGTGTTTGCTACTTGACATCTACTATTTGTTTTATAAAACAGGGAGAGAGACTCACACTTATACTACCTGAAAATATTTATATTCGGAAGTTAAGATGAATAAAGATTTCTTCAACTCCATGGCATATAGCATTTTTATATTATTATCGATGATTTCGTTTGCTTCGAGCTTTTCATGTCGGCTCTTTGGGATAGATACAAACAATACTCAATACAAAGTTTATCGAATTCTATAATGCATCGTTTCATCATAATGTGTTAAATTTAGGTGATTCAGTATTTCAGAGTCCATCAGCAACCGCAAAAATAGATAATCATACATATCATAGTACATATAATACTTTTGATAGTAAAGCTATACCTTATTTTTTCCTACTGATGATTGATGTGGAAGCTAAGTCAATCAAACTTAATTTATCATTGATCGATGAAAATGATAATGCAGCATTTTATCATATTGGAGTGACGAATGAGAATGGTAACATTTATGGTATCAGAGAAAGTTTCAAATCTCCGGTAAGTTTAGAAGTAGCTAAAATCAATCAAACGACAGGTCTCATGAAATCTATTGAAATATAGCCAGCTGACTCATTTAGTATTATCATGACTTTTGCATCGAAACATCGATTGTATTATAATGTTATAGATTCGACACTTTATGGTATAAATATTGATACAGGAAAAATATATGTACATTAGTCGAATACCTGGAGATTATTCAATCTATGCCTTTGATTATGATTCTGCTAAAGATCGACTCATTGCGCTAGTTTATCCAGCTGGATTAACGGATCACGTCTGGTACTTAGTGGAAGTCATTATGACAGCAAAAGGTGAACTTAAATTTGATCGCATTGGTAAAAGTGAAATTCCATTTGAGAAATCTTTTTGGTCAACAAACTATGCACTCGATGCAGAAAAACGTCTACGGGTTACACTATGGGGCACAACAGATGACAAAAAGAATCATTTTTTTGTATTCAATGTCGATAATGTAAAAATTGTTGAACAAATGACAGCAAATCTGACTGAATTAAGTAATCTTGCTTGCTTCGATTCAATTTGATCTTTGCCAATGTCTTCGAAACAAGGCATTGAATAAATGTTTCAGCAGAGAAAAACAATAATTTCATCATTCATTGTCACAATGAGATAAACATGTGGATGTGAATATAGGTGCTTAATTCGTCTATATCCACACCCACACTCCGCATTCTAACTACCCTCAAAAATACACAAAGTTTCTGTTTAGTGTCCTTTAGTTATTAATAAGATATTAAATATTGACCATATGCCTGGGTATCATGATATGTAACAGAAACGTGCTCACCATCGGTAATTGTGTAGTAGTCTGTTGGACAAACTTTCATTGTTTTATCTTCAAATGTTGTACGGCCGACAAGAACATGTGCATAAAACATACATCGTTCACCTTGTTGCTTCGGCACAGAATAAGAATGACCGTAACTCGCATTTGACGAAAAATAAACATCATTACTATAAAGCGTACCTAGATCTTGGGTGTGGGGTGTGGGTGAGAAGGGGGCTTGTTCATCTCAGTATTAACACTCACACTCACACCCTATTTAAAAGATTAAAATTCCAGCAGGAGGGAGGGGGAGGGAGATGGCAGAGTTCCTTTATGAAAATATACAGAAAAGAGGATATCAATTAAAAAGCTTCTATGAAAAAAGCATCTTTCATCTTAGTGAATAATATATAGATCAATAATTCGAACAACGTTATTTCAAATGGTAAAAATTGCAGGTTTATATCTTCTTCTTATCAAAAATGTCATCATATATGTGCCAGATATGATATTAGGAATTCTTTTCAATGATACTCACTTGAATTTCAACGATTGAGTCATTTCCAGTCTATCTATATAATAAAACACAAATTAACTAACTGATGAATAAAGTAGTCAGATTTTTCTATGATATAAGTTCAAATCAAGTTAAAAATAATCACGTGCAAAGTCATGTTATACACACAAGAGACTTGTAATACATTCGTCATACAGATAATGCTTATCGAATTTTCCCGTGTGACGCAAGAGCGCCTAACAGTACTCTTGTATGCTTCGGACCTTGCATTCTTTCACTTTCTGTTTTACCTCTATAAAGTTTTGTAATTTGATATTGTGTAATAACTTTCTAGCTTCTATGTATCGATAGTTGCACACTATAGTTAATGTTGTTTCTAACAGAACGAAGAAAAACGTACTCTAAATTCTGTCCACTGAAATATGTTTTTCAACACATCGTATCGTCATAATACTCCATTATCTTTATTTATTCAAATATAAGATCAATTTATTGTAATTTTAGATAGGATTATTTCTGAATCGAATATACTACGATAAATTCAATGCATAGAATTAAAAATCTATTGAAAACTCTGAACTTTACGATAAAACAAACTCAGACCATTAATGTTATTATTTCGGGTAGGAAGTATGTTTTATAATTCAACACAATACTGTTTACACATCGAAATCATCATATGAATTCAAATAAAATGAGAATACTTGTACAGTATTGGTCTACAGGCAGTGTCAAGAATTGATACAAAGAATTTAATGTATTTTTAATTTTGCAAACAGTTTATGTGAAATTTTCTAAGAAAAGCATCTCTGCCATGGTCTGTGACGGAGAGAGATCTAAATTTCTACCCCTAAAAGCTTCGACATTCCTTTCAGATCGTGTTTTACAAAATTACAAGTCATTTATGATGATCATCTATATTCAAATAAGGAGTTCATCAGCTGTTAAATTGTTGGATGAATCGTTTACTAAATACTATCGTATTCATCATGAAGTTGAAATCTTATAAATATATACGAATCTCTTCAGAAAAATAGTCTTTATTAGTTATTAAAAATCTTGTTAACATACTTTCTGTGAGATAAAAATTTGACAATACTACATTTCCTATTCGAATTTCAGTTAGAATTGTTTTGGATTGTCAATGGACGATTTATAATTATGATGATTTCATTTGAGACATTTTTAGACACTTGATGATATCTTGGGTGGAGTGTGTGTTTCCTCTTAATCAACACCCACACCCTTTATTTCAAGTTTTCGAACTTTTATGTAAATCTAAATAAAATGAATGAATGCTAAGATAATATACAATGTAATAATTAAACCCATTGAATTTATTATGTTGTTTAATACTTCAATAACCATAGCTAGTAAAAAATAAAGAAAAAAGTAATTTAATCACCACTATTAAAGAAATATAATATAACATTGAATAACTATTTTTAGGAATCACATTGTTATATTATCTTGGCAATTATTGATTGACAATCATATTAGTATTTTGAAATATATAATATTTTTATGATGAATTTTCTTCATAGTTTATGTTTAAAAAACCTATTATTATTCTATTTTTTGTGTTTAACATTTTTCATGCAAGTAATATATTATGACATTCTTACTCATTTTGAATTCAATGCATAATGGGTATGTGTTAGTATACGTACTAAAAAAAACGCTCATACTCTCACTTTCCTACACTTATATTAATACATACACCCATATTTACAACAGCACTTAGACTTGTACTTTTTTTTTGTGAAACACGATCTGAAAGGAGTGTTGAAGTGTATAGGTAGAAATTTTGGACCCACTCCCCCCCC